CAGCATTGGAATGGAATTGGAATGGAAACATTACTGTAATGGAATCAGTACCAGCACCCTAGAAGTCCCCATCATGCCCCCTTCTAATCTCTGTTCCCTTTCCCATCTCCTACAAAAGGCATTCATTATCTTGATTTTTATGATATTCATTTACTTGTTTTTCTTTATAGTTTTACCCAATAGGCATGCATCCCTAAATGATGTAATTCAGCTTTCCCTGGTTTTAAGCTTGATATAAATGGACTCATACAGTATATATATTTTTTCCTGGCTTCTTTTGCTTAACATTATATGTGTAAGATTCATCTATGTTGATGAGTTTAACAGGAGTTTGATCATTCTAATTGTGTGTAGGATTCCACTGTGTGAATGAATGTACCACAATTTTCTTTTCCATTCTATATTTGATGAACATCTGAGTTGTTTCCAGCCTGGGATTATTATGAATAATGTTGCTATAAATATTCTTATACATGACCCTTGGTACATACATACATGCAGTTCTATGGATATATACTTAGAAATTGAAGTGCTAGGTCATAGGGTAAGCGTATCTCCAACTTTAAGAAATAAATTCAAACTTTTTACAAGTAGTTGTGCCAATTTAAACTTCCTCCAACAGTGTATGAGAATTCTTATTGTTCCATATCATCATCAACACTTACTATCATCAGTTTGTGTAATTTAGCCTATCTGTTGGGTGAGTAGTGGTATTTTAGTTGTGGTTTAATTTGCATTCCTTGATTGCTGTTGAACTTGGGCATCCTTCTATGTTTTATTGGCCATTTGAATATTATCTTTTGTAAAATCCATTGTCTTTTTAAAAAATCTTTATTATGGAAAAGTTCAAACATATGTAAAAGTAAACAGAAGGGTAAAATTAATCCTCGTGTGCCAGTCACTCTACTTCAGTACTTATCAAGGCATGTCCAGTCTTTACCCTGACCCATTCCTCTCTCCCATTTTTTTTTTAAGAGATTGGGGCCTTGCTCTGTTGCTCAGGTGGGAGTGCATGATCATAGCACACTACTTCCTTGAACTTCTGGGCTCACACTATCCTCCTGTCTTAGCCTCCTGAGAAGCTGGGACTACAGGCACACACCACCCCAGCTGACTAATATTTCTTATTTTTTTAGAGATGGAGTCTTGCTATGTTTCCCAGGCTTGTCTCAAACTCCTGACCTCAAGCTATACTCCTGTCTCAGCCTCCTGAGTCACTGGGATTACAGAAATGAGCCACACTGCCTGGCTTGTCCCATAATATTTTGAAGTATATCCTGGCATAATTTCATCTGTAATATTAAAGTATGAATCTCTGTAACATAAAGGCATTTTTTTTTTTTTTGAGACAGAGTCTCACTGTGTTGCCCGGGCTAGAGTGCCGTGGCATCATCCTAGCTCACAGCAACCTCAGACTCCTGAGTCACTGGGATTACAGAAATGAGCCAC